ATTCATGTAAACCTACATGGTTTACGTAAATAATTTCGGATTTTAATTTAATTTATGCTGAAAAGATGACCGATAAAAGGTTTATTATAAAATGAAATTATTGATATATCTGATTAAAATTATAATTTGCATATTTTAATAATAACAGTTATGTATATCACTTCTCTAATACGGACTACTCTAAATTATAGCATTAAAACAGAGAGATAACACAATATTATATTATAAATATTAAAATAAATAAATAAAATAAGTAAATAAAATAAGAAAATCTGTGTAGTAAAAAACATATATTTTATTCAGATAAATACGTAGTTCCATTATAGGATGGTGTTTCATAAAAAATATATTTCAATTTGAATTCAATTTTGAAATATAATTATTATATTTTCTTATTGGACTAGATATTTAAGATTCTAAACTATTAAAATACGACTAGACAGTGTATTTTAGATTCATGAATAAGGTTATTTCAAATATGTTTCTGTAGAATAGATACCTAGTTTCAATTATAGAATAAAAAGAGGAGGAAGGTTTAAGATAATCGCGAGTATTTAATTAACCAAACATTTAGAAATTTCAAGTGTACTTCGCTAAAATCACAGAGTAAGTAATAAAGAAAAATAATATGATATCGTCAGCTCTCTAACAACTCATGACGCAGTTAGCTGTTTATTTCATTATAAAGTTAATGAACCTAATAATAGCATAGCATGTACATGTAGGTATATTCATTATACGAGTATGTAGAACATGTTCTATACTTTCTTTTAATGAATTTAGTACAGATGTTAGGCAAAATTATAATTACCTAATAGCTGTCTATTTCAAAGTATAAAGTTTGACAATAAATAAGTAGTAATACTTATTTATTGTCAAAAGTTTACTGATATCCTGTAGATATGACATGTCTAAATATGTTTTATATCTAATTCAATAGGAATAAATTAAAAGCAAATTTCAAAATTACGGAGTAATAAAACAATTGAAAATATGTGTAGAGATTCTGTATGTTTAGATTATTTAAATGTTTCTTGATTTGTAATATTTGCATTCTATCATTCCGTTCCATTTTAAAAATGGGCATTTGTTAAAAATCAGACGGAATGATAAAACTCAAATACTTCAAAGGGTTTTCCAATGTTTTTAATTACTCAAGAGAAGGATTAGCTTTTCGGTTGCATAATTAAAAACATTGATATTATATCAATGGTAAACGCAACGAATATTAATAAGCTTAACGGACGTATCTAAGATCAGTACATCTTTATTTGTTCCAATTCTATTGCATGTATATGTAACTGTTATTTGTTCTTCACGTATATTCCTTGTGTTTTCGTTAATACCAATTTCAGTTCAATTCCCTTTTTAATCAACAATTTAAAATAATATTATATCGATAAAAAATTGTGCCACTAGTGTACTAAATTTTTACTGCATATTTAACAAAAACACAACATTAGATTTGTTGATATCGCTTTTAAAAATTAATGTGGAGAATTTAAATGTAGGTCAGTTATCCTGAGAGTTTGGTATTTTAATATACTATTTCCGCAAAACATTCGTAAATGAGCTACTAACAAGGAATGTTAACAGAGTAAAGCTTAAGATAAAAGGTTTTTAGTTTTTTCTGTTGGATGCGATATTTCATATGGCTATTGCTACGTAGGTAATAGCCACATTTTTTTAAATCTATATTAATGGTAGTTTTCTTTATGTAGTGACCTAGTATGAATACAATAGAAATGAGTCCGAGTCTAATAGTATATTTAGGTGAAGCGCTGAGTGTATAAACGTCCCAAATAGTCTATAGAATGACGCGTATTTATTTAAAACCGTACAAAGAGCGTCATTTTTCAGTGTTATTAGCAAGTCAGTTCAAAATTGTCAAATGTATATACATGTGTACGAGTATATGGTGTGTATATAGGTATCTTTATTCTTCTTTTTTTAATTCAAATAGAAAAATTCCACCACAGTTTTTGATAATTACAAAAGGCAATATTAATAAAGCTCTATATTACTAAAATCGATAGGCACCAACTTCAGACTGATTTTATCCTATAAATTAAGAGTCTAATACCAGTTTATTAAGTTTTTGTTTTATATATATTTTTTAAAGTCGGTTTAATTTTTTTTAATAAAGCTTGATTATTTTTTCCTTTGAGTGTAAATAATACGTAAGCAGCGAGTAAAAAAACTATCTCACATATTACAATTAAACTGTTATTATATCATATAAGTTAGTTTATAAATTTATTATATATCATACAGAACTGTAAGTTAGTTTATAAATTTATTAACTTTATTAAGAATTTCAATTTCTATTTTTAACTTTAATACTTTTTTTAAGCAACTTAGAATGGAAAACAAGCTAACGGCCCACCTGATGAAAACTGGTAACCGTCGCCTATAGACATTAGTAGTACCATGGACATAACAGAGTATACTGTTTCGTCCATGATATCCTCCATGCGTTGTCATACCTGAGGACTCAGGTGTTATTCCTCTGTACCATGTAAATACACTGCCATATCGCACCCTCCAAACCGAAACACAGTCATGCAAACACGAATGAGACAGAGGTGCCCAAGCAAATGACTTTTGTAAAAAGCCTCCTTCTGGTAGTTACTACTATATAAAAAATACACAAAATACACAAAAAAATACATAAAAAAATAATTCTCGCTAATAGCAAGTATTAAAAGTTATTGTTAGTACAACAATAAACAAGTACAACAAAAATAAGCCATTCACCAATAGGATATCATTAAACTATAATATACGTATTTTGTCAACTGATACAAAGTTCTATGGCTTTCATCATCATCTTAGCTGTTTGAAATGATAACTCAGAGACACAATCACCCAAATAACCTGAAAGAGTTTAAGAAACAGTATATCCATCCTTATAATATTCAAGAAATTATCCCCCAACTGCTAAATATTAACTTGGTGAAAAATGGAACCGTTTCAGGAGTATACTATTTTGAATAAAAACATAATTTTTGAAATCTGTTCATAATTGAAGTAGAAGTCAGTGGACATTACATAAAAAAGAAATGTTTTCCCCCACGAACACTCAGGTTATGGAATGGGCTCCCTGCCGAGGTTTTGCCAAGAGACTACAGCATGGGTTTCTTCAAAAACCAGGGGGTAAAGAGGTCAGGGTCGCAACGCGCGCGTAATACCTCTGGTATTGCAGGCGTTCATAGGCTATGGTAACCGCTTATCATCAGGTGGGCCGTATGCTTGTTTGCCACCTCAGTGGTATAAAATATGTATATATATATATATATATATATATATATATATATATACCGATATAATCGAAAATACAACCTTCTCTTTTTTTAAGTCGGTTGAAAAGGTGGTATGCCTTTTGAAGTGAATTTATTTATATTACCAATCGGGTTTCAACTAAGTAAACATCGTTGTTACATGTACAGGTAAAATGTTAACACTTACTAAATGAGTGACACAAATATAAAACTTGATATTTTTTTACATCTACAACTTGAAAGAGTAATCAAGCAAAGGTCCTGGGTCATAAAAAGTAGTTACTGTTTGCGTCGTTCATACTTAGTTTGTCCTTTATGCCTCTCTAAATTATACTAACGATCTTGCGAAAGATCCTTTGACGTATTCTATAATCACAATTTTATTAATATCTGTTAACCAACTTCTCATAAGGAGGGGAAAGGGATTGTCAGTGATGGGGTCTAATTTCCCCATTATTAGCAATACAGGGTGTATTCAGTTCGACCTCCACGAGGTTCCTCCTGGAAAACATCGTGGTTAATTCTAGTTAAATTCGTCACGAAGGGTTAACGTACCTGCTTTCATCGTTACCTATATTATATTACCTATATTACCCAGCACTGGGATCCCGCCAGTGTATACCGATAACGCAGGCGGGGTTACTATTTCATTATCATCCATTAAAAAAAAAAAAAACTACTCATAGAGACAAATAAAATCAGCACCTATTTGATGACGTTGTATTGTTTTACTATAATATTCTTATCACCATCAGCTCCTGAAGTCAAATTGAAGTGTTTTTTGTACCTCCGTATGTTATGATTTATTGGACAAAAGATTATGAAGTAGGTATAATATTTGCATCTTCAGTACGAGTATTTTCTTTGAACACATTTCCTCTTTTATTGTTTGTCGACATTTTAAACTGATGTGTTAAATTTCATCATATAGTCCCGACACAGAATGGGCCACCCCTTCCTTTCTCGTGGATGCCGTCTAAGGGGGCTTAATGGTATGGCTGTCTTCCTCTTAAAACATCACCGAAAGCCTAACTACGGTTGGCAACCAGCCTGTCAAGTGTAGAAACTACTAATACAACCCCTTTTATGCTTATGTTCAGCAGCATAATTAATAGCTGATATGATAATGATGATTAAATTTTACATAAAAATTACAAATCATATAAATTTACATGCTAATTATAATTCTATTAAAAGAGTTCCTATTCGAAATGAAAACTTTTGATATCGAATTTTCGTTCAAAATCACAGGAATTCAAAAATGAAAAATTAATAAACTTAATAAATTTTCATATAAAATTTTCTCTGTCTTTTTTTCAAAGATGCAATTTATTCTATATTTTACTACTTCTAGAACAGCACACTGCTGTACCTGCTTCAAAAAGTCAATTATAGAAAATTTTAATCGTGTTCAGTATCGTCTATGTAACAATTAGGCAATTATTTATCGCATTAATTTTTAATACCACTTATTATTTTTGTTGATTTCAAGATGATAATTTCATTTACTCTATATAACATTTTAATCTTAACATCCGTTAAAATACCGGATGCAAAGATCTAGATGTTTGACTGGTCTTTCCAGCATACTGCGGCAACGTTATGCTCATAATATTCTAATCAATGTTTACATTGAGTCAGATTCGCGAAAACTTTGTTGAACTAAGACTTTACTTTTACAAGATATCTCGTCAGAAGCTATTATCTAACCTTATCTCAGGTAATTTGTGGTGCAAGTATAAAAGGATGCTTGTACAGTATTCGATACAATATGTGACGAACGAGCTCGTATGAAACACTACTGTATTTAAGTGTCTTAAAACCCGAACGAATTTCGCCAAAATGAGAGTGTTATTTATATTCCTTCTTGTAAGTATTTCTTACATTCTTCTTTAATATAATATTAGTGTTCAGCTTATAATATTAATGGAAGTAATTATTAATAATTTGCGTTGTGTTATGTTGCATAATGTTATCTGTTTTAATAGATACAGTAATAAATTTTACAATAATCCTATTGTGCGATCAGTGAAAATATAAAAATACATACAGTACTTACTGAGTGGCAGTATTTGAACACATTTGCGTTGTTTTGTTGCGTAATAAATAATAATTTCAATAGACTATAAGGTCCATGAGTTTTTTAATAATTATATTGTCAGGTCTATGAAAACTTACGTACATACTGACATAATTATCAATTAATTAAAATAATTATGTGTATCTAATAAATAAAATTTTACAAGTATTGTTTAAATTCATGTGATATTTATGAAATTATGAATAATTTTAAAGATTTTTTATTTTTCATATTATATAATATTTTTATAAATATATTTTTATGAAATTTCTATTCAAGTTACTATTTTTTTTATTAGTTGAGATGCAGTCTAATGTTTAATATCAATAACTTTTATTTTAACTAAATCTATATTGAGATAATTATATATGTCATATTTTATCTTTATATTACAATGTGTGTAGATAAATTTACAAATACGTTTGATGTTTAAGCATTTATTAAATATTAATGTTAGTTGATTGATAGTTTAATATTTTTCTAATAAGTGCTACACGGTTATGTCAGTTGTCTAGTCCTCATGCTGGATTATCCTGTGTTCTGTGAACCGAGCATTTTGAAAGCGTTTGTTATTACTGGTTATTGTTAGTAATTGTGGAAATTAGAAGTCATTTTGAAATTTTTTAAATTATTTCTTGTACTGTTATTAACAATGATATTATTGTTTTGATCCTGTTCAATGTTTTAATCCTGTTTATATGTAAGAATTCTCTAAGATTCACTGTTCTGTTTTCCCTGTGCAATAAATTAAAGAAAATTTATGATGTTGTTGTAAAACCTTTATTGAACATAATTTACAATATGTAATAGAATAATGATAGTATCTAGTACTACCAAATAATACAAACGATTATTTGTTTACTGTTCATTGAACATAACAAAAAGAATTAAAAATGTTAAACTAGTAATGTAATATTATTTTTTAAACTTATGTTGATTTTTTTAAGTTTATTTTTTATTACTATTATGTTTATTTTACATACCATATAGTGATTTAATGACATCAGGAATGGTAATGCATGAGGAATGCCTTGGGCATCACAGTTTATTCAGTAATGGCCATCGTGTTGTCCATGTTTATAGGCAACTATAACGACTTGCTAACAGTTTGGCCGTCAATAATGACAGACAACCTGTTAATACTCGTAATTATAACATTATCATAAAAAATATCTAAGTCAATGTAAAAAATAGAGGATAAATTTTATGTTCAGTACATTAAAAGGATAATGTTGCATCTAAATTATATATATTCTTGTGATTTATAATATTAATGTGCAATTGTTGATTAAAGTTTAATGATTAAATAATTAAATAATCAATGGGTATGTACTAACGATTCTAAAAAGAAAACAGACAAATCTATTCTACAAATATTTCATACGATAGAATACAGTATACTATTTTTGTTATTAATTTAAAAACGCTTTTAATTTTACAGTTTGATTTTATTATTCTACGATTGATTATTAATAATTAATTCAATTTCTTGAATATTTTTTTCCGTTATTAATTTTATTTGATATTTTTAAAGTATTAATTGATTAATAATACTGTAAAGATTTTCCTCAATTTATTTTATTATTCCTCTTTTATCAATGAACCATTGATTTTTATTATTTTAATTTAGTAGTGCATACGGATTCTAATATTAGTGTGGGATATAGAATAAATAATAAATGTCGATAATGTCAAAAAAGAAGTAGGAGCAGATTGATTACGATTAAGATACTAATAATAAATAGTCATATTTGATATTGATATAATTTTACAGATATATTTATTTAATGGCCTACTTGACCAACATTACATTGCTACGTCATTGTCTGTAAAACTTAAAAAAGTTATTTACTTCTTAATTTTTCGATAGTTACTAAATAGTATTTGTACAATGAAGCTTATAAGTTATCATTACAAAAGAATTGATTAATATTTTAGTACATTGTTCATAGCAGCGAGGAGGAAAGTGGTTGTTATCTAATAAATGTGACATTTAATATCTGAACCGCAGGCGTGGACTTTAAATTAACGAATTGGAAGTCGTACTTTATTCTGAGCAATTCATAGTGCTTTATATTAATCTATGATAAAATTACAACACAATTCAATTATAAAAGTTTTCATCATGATTTGTGTACGTAGATTTAATTAAATAAGACGGCAGTTGGCTTCAATTTGACTTAAGGACTAATTAAATAAAACTAAGAGAGTATTTTAAGTTTTAATTAAATTACTGTTACTAATATTTATAAATTTATTAATTTAGCCATCTTATTATTGTTACAGGTTTGTTTTTGTTTGGTAAGTGCGAAATATTTACCAAATGAATCGCAACGTTCACGATCATTACGGCGATCTGGTGAGTCCGATTCCAGCGAGTCCGAGGCGTCCATAGATCGTGATGACGATAGTAGAGGTGAGGATGATGATGGCAATGATGACGATTCTAGACAAGATAGAAATATCCAGGGTATAGAAGCAATTAGGAGAAAAATTGAAGAGAGAGAAAGAAGAGAAAAAAGGAAATTAGAAGAAAAATTACGTGAAGAAACAAGAAAATTAGAGGAGAAACAGAGAAAACTTGAAGAAAAGTTAGCTAAAGAGGAATTAAAACTACAAAAGAAGAGACAAGAAGAAGAACGAAAGCTTCAGGAACGAATAGAAAAAGAAAGACGTAAGCAAGAAGAAGAGAATAGGAAACGACAGGAAAAGATTGCAAAAGAAGAACGAAAACGTAGAGAAAGAGAACGTAAGATACTTGAGAAATTACAGAAAGAGGCTTTGGAGGATAATAAAGCTTCAGATAGTTCGGAATCTATAGAAATAGAGGGGTCATTAGATTTTGAAGATCTATGGAAAGGTTATGTTTATGAGCAATATGGGTTATCATCAGTAAGTACGAAAGTAGAAAAGAAAGTAGTGCTGAATATATTTATACAGGAACAGCTTAATATTAACATATATAGCAGTAAAAGCGAAAGAAGACGAGCACTGATAGAATGGATAGAAAATGAAGTGCGTAATAATGCACAAAACAGTTTCAGAAATTACATACTGAGACGTATTAATTCCATTCAGATAGAACAGTTAAGAAGAAGGTTAAATAGACAGATTGAAAATCTAAACAATAAATTAACGTTGCTAAATAATGCGCTCTCGCCATTGGTTTCTATTGCACGAAATAATATTGAAGAGAAAAGGACTTTGCTTCAAGCTGCATCACAGTTGTTATCAACTTTAATTACTAATTTGATTAGCGGTGGACAGTCGAATAATAATCCGTTCTCTTCACCTAATGGACCTTCGTCTGTTGGTGATTCAAGTAACACTGTTACATCCACTACAGAGTCAGCAATTTCTAGCTCTACTAATAATGCAGAATCGAGTGCCAATGTAACTCCTGCAGAAAATAGTGACACCACTTCCATTGATTTATCTGGTTCTGATATTTCTGCTACTGAATCAAGTAACCAAGGTACATCTGAAAGTGTAATATCAAATACAAATGAATCATCCGCTACAAGTAATGATGCCATCTCCTCTAGTATATCGGCATCTAACTCGAATAATTCTGAAGTTGACTCCAGTAATACTGCAATAACTGGTACTGAAACAGAAGATAGTAACACTACTGAAATATCAACAACGGGTACCAATGGAAATTCAGAAACAAGCAGTGCTGCTGGATCTAATGATAGTTCTAGTTCCAATGTTTCCACTGATGATTCTACCGATGTCGTCTCATCTGGCGTGGAAAATGCAAACACCGGTTCCGCTGAAGGTGCAGCATCTAACGCTGATGCAACAAGTAATGACCCCACTGATACATCTTTATCCGGTTCTGATGTTCTTACCACCGATTCAACTGATGCAACCACACCAAGCGATATATCAGCAGCTACTGACTCAACTGAAAATGCACTATCCAGTTCTGAAGCAACTTCTGAAGCAAGCAATAGTAATGCTTCTACTGAGGGGTCTGGTTCGAATGATCTCACTGTTGACTCCAACAACGGATCTGTATCGGATGTTGAAACTGCAGCTAGTGGTTCACCGGAAAGTGCTGTATCTAATACTAATGTAACTTCTGAAGTAAACAGTAGTACTGCTTCTTCTGAGGGATCCAATTCAAATAATCTTGTTGTTGATTCCAATAACTCTGCTACATCTACTGTCGTATCTGCAGTTGGTGGATCATCGGAAAGTACGGCAGTCAGCTCTGATACAACATCTGAAATAAGTAGTAGCACTACTTCTGCTCAGGGATCAAATTCAAATACTATTGTCGTTGAATCAAATAACTCTGTCACATCTAATGTCATATCTGCAGCTGGTGGCTCATCAGAAAGTGTATCAGTCAGCTCTAACCTAACTTCGGAAACAAGTAGTAGCACTTCTTCTACTCAGGGTTCAAATTCAAATACTATTGTCATTGAATCCAACAACTCTGTCACATCTAGTGTCGTATCTGCATCTGGAAGCTCATCGGAAAATGCAGCAGCTAGTACTGATGTAAATTCTGAAATAAATAGCAGTGTCAATTCAGCTGATGGTTCTAGCTCAAGCATTTTAGATATCGATTCAAACAATGCTGCCTCATCTAGTGTCGAATCTGCAACTGGGGGTTCATCGGAGAATGCAGTAGCCAGTACCAATGTAACTTCTGAAATAAATAGCAGCACTAATTCAGCTGACGGTTCTAGTTCAAGTCTTCTTAATGTTGATTCCAACAGCTCTGCCACATCTGGTGTTGAATCTGCAAATGGCGGTTCATCGGATAATGCAGGGTCCAGTAGCGACATTACTTCTGAAATAAACACCAGTACTAATTCAGCTGACGGTTCCAGTTCAAGTGTTATAGATGTTGATACAAATAATGCTGCCTCGTCTAATGTCGAATCCGTAACTGGTAGTTCATCAGAGAATGCCGCAGCCAGTACTAACGTAACTTCTGAAATAAGTAGTAGTGCTAATTCATCTGACGGTTCTAGTTCAAGTGTTCTTGACGTCGATTCTAACAACTCTGCCACATCTGGTGCTCAATCTGCAACTGGTGGTTCATCGGATAATGCAGGGTCCAGTAGCGACATTACTTCTGAAATAAATAGTAGTACTAATACAGCTGACGGTTCCAGCTCAAGTGTGATAGATGTTGATACAAATAATGCTGCCTCGTCTAATGTCGAATCTGCAGCTGGTGGTTCATCAGAGAATGCAGCATCCAGCACTGACGTAACCTCTGAAATAAGTAGTAATACTAATTCAGCTGACGGTTCTAGCTCAAGTGTTATAGATGTTGATACAAATAATACTGTCTCATCTAGCGCCGAATCAGCAACTGGTGGTTCATCGGAAAATACTGCTGTCAGTAATGATGTAACTTCAGAAATAAGTAGCAATATTAATTCAACAGACGGTTCTAGCTCAAGTGTAATTGACGTCGATTCCAACAACTCTGTTATATCTGGTGTTTCATCTACAACTGGTGGTTCATCGGATAATGCAGCAACCAGTAATGATGTAACTTCCGAAATAAATAGCAGTACTAATTCAGCTGACGATTCCAGCTCAAATGTTCTAGATGTTGACTCCAACAATGCCGCCTCATCTAGTGTCGAATCTACAACTGGTGGTTCATCGGAAAATGCAGCAGCCAGTACCAACGTAAGTTCTGAAATAAGTAGTAGTGCTAATTCATCTGACGATTCTGGCTCAAATGTTCTTAATATCGATTCCAATAACGCTGCTACATCTAATGTTGGTCAATCCCAAAATACAGTATCCAATACTGACGTCACTTCTGACGAAAGCATTGGAGTTGCTTCCACAGACTCGTCAGGCACTAATATTTCCTCTGTTAACTCCGCTAATACTACTTCATCGGTTGTGGAAAATACAACCAATAGCGCTTCTGAAAGTGCAACATCTAACACTGAAGGTACTTCTACTGAAAGTAGTAATACTGCTTCTACTGATGACACTTCAAATGGTGTGGAAACTACGACTGTTGAATCTAATGATAACACTATATCAGATACCAATGAAAATATCGATAATGTGTCTACCGATACGTCTACATCAGATATTTCTGCTACTGATTCTACTAACGCTGTTTCAACTAGTAATGCACCTACGACTGAATCAATTGAAAATACAACCTCTGGTATTGATTCAACTACTGCAGGAGATAATAGTAGCGATTCTACTGGTACAACTGTCTCCGATTCTAACATTACTGTTGACGATTCTACGAGCATTGTTACATCAGGAGTTGAAAGTACAACCGTTGATTCTACTGAAAATACAGTATCACTCCCCGAATCTTCTTCAACAAGCGATGATACTATTTCCACTAATGCGTCTGAAAATGATAATTCAGCTGTTACCACTACACAAGATTTATCATCATCTATTACTAATTCAGATGTAACGACATCTGAAAGCATTGATATTACAACCGAAAACATCAATATTATTACATCTGAGGCAGCTACTACTACTATTGGAGATCTGACAACAGCAGGTGGTCTTGAAACGGTCACCACAGTTAGTATTTCTTCTAATACTGACGAAGAAATTAGTGTAACTACTTCTTCTGGAATTGAAAATGTCAGTGAATCACAAACAGAATCTGGTATCATTGAAAATGGACCAGAAGTCAATACCCCTATTCCTGTGGTTCCTGTAGATAATAATAATATAGCAAATATTTTGCCAGGAGTTAATAACAATTTCCTAGAAATCATATCAGGAGGTCGTCCGATCATCCGTCCACCTATCCGTCCATCCATCCTTCCAAGCCGTCCTCCTTTTATTATAGTTCCACTAAAAAATGAGATTAAACGTCCCAATGAGCCTGGTGCGATCGTCGTTGAAATAAACCGGCAGTGAAATTGATTGACCTGTTATTTAATGAGTAAAATTCTATAATGAAATGTATATAGTTAAATTTAATGTTAGTGAACCGAATAATTTTGTAGATATGTGCATTTAAATAAAATACAGGGCAAACATTATGTTTGTTTTATTTCTACCTAAGAAATAAGGCTGCTAGAACTCCATGCCTTTATTATTGTCTTGGATGTTAAAAATTACAAAAGTACTTTCAAAAACTTTTTGTTATGAACCAACTTTGAAAAGAAGGAGGTTCTTAATTTGATTCTATTTTGTTATGTTTTATCCTCATAACTTCGTCAGTTCTAAAGCGATTTGGAAAATTATTTTTTTATCTGAAAGGATATACTTGCAGATTGGTTCCATAGACTTTTATCGAAATTGGTTTAGAGTTTAGTATTAGGTCAAAATAATTAGTTTTGTCACAATTAAAGTAGTTTTTTTATGTGACATTATCTTTAATTATACATTGAATTTTCTAATGTAATGAGACAGATTGAAATTTAATGGTCGAGGGATCGGCAACAATGTCCTTCTTAAAACATTACCAAAGCCTAATTATGGTTACCAAACTCCGCCAAGCATGGTAAGTACTGAAATTTCCTTTATGTTAAGAGCTATGTTCAGCAGTGGTAACTGATGATATGATAAAATAAATCTAAACCGCATTTGATTTTTATTTTATGAAACGAAAATTTAATATAGGCTATGTAAAGTTTTTACGCTATATCCTATTAATATTATGAATATGATAGTTTATACAGTTACTCAATCACGATTAAATAATTGAACGAGTTCGAATGAATTTTTGTACATTTTATTTTTATTTTATTGTTTATTAAAGAAAAACCAACAGCTAGAAAATTTCATAATAAAAAAAAAAGAAAGATTAGCGATGTCATATGTATTAGTCAAATCTCGTTTTTATTTATTATACGTATTAGTACTTACAATTAACTAATTTAAACTTAGACTAACAACATTATACTAGTTCACATATTATAGGTAGGCAGTTATGCAAAATAAAAAGTTGGAATCACACGCTCAAAGATGAACCATCAAAGAACCACTGACTTCGCACACATCAAGCGGATTATATCTTAGAATTAAATAAACCTAAATCGAGATTTTTAGATATTTTATTAAAATTATCGCTTGCAAGTCAGAATAATGATTTTTTTCTGTAGTTAGTGGCAACAAATAAAATAAATAAGGTGGCATTTAATCTTAAGGTTGGGATACGTAGAAAGAGTTGATATAGCATATCGGAGCAATCGATTGAACCATTACCAATTTTCATCAATTCTGAAATTTCGCGATGGTACTTAAGAGGAAGTAGGTGATGTTTTTTACATAGCTCAATACATTTAGAGGAGTTGAAGTGCTTCTTTGTTCTGTAACATAGATATTTAATAATTTTTTTTAATAGCTTTTATTTGACAGACATAAATATTATAAAGTGGGTTCCAGATCTGACTAGCATACTCCAAATTGTTGCGAACAAAGGTGCAATGTAGTATTATTGGCGTCTTAATATTAGTAAACTCTTTGGAATTACGTATTATGAAACCTAGGGCACAAAAGGCCTTGGTAATAATACTATAAATATGTGAATCGAGCAGTAATTTTGAATCATGATGTATACCAAGATCTCGAGTTATAGTATTTCTTCGAAGTGAAGTGCATTTAATGTATATGAATAATAATAATGAATGTTACAATTACGGGTAAAAGTAACGACAGTGCATTTAGATGAATTTAAATATAGATGATTATCATTATGATAATCCTCCAGTCGATGAAAATCTTTCTGCAAATTAATGCTATTAATATTAAGGATATTGAAGCAAACACTTTCATGTCATCGGCAAAACAGAGAAATTTGGAACTATGAAAACAGGTTTCCATATCATTCACAAAAATTACAAAAAGTAAAGAACCTAATAAGGACCCTTGAGGAACATTACTCGGTAGAGACACTCAAGTCGATATGTAATTACTTACCATTGCCTGACACCTATTATTTATATATAAAGTGAATCATCTGAGAAGTTCACCATTAATACCAATATTTTGAAGTTTAAACAATAATCTATTATCTTGTCTACCTCGGTCCATAGATTCAACGAAATTAGTTTTAAATAGTACTAAATTTGATACCGTTCAACGTCCTTTCAAAAAACTATCTTGAAATGACGAAAAATATTGCTCCATTGCGGGATAAACCTGATCATAAACCAACCTTTCAAATACTTTGCCAATAAACACAATTTAGAAATACCGCGATAATTACGTTAGAATACTTTATTAGTTATATTCTAACCTAAAATTCTAACATAATGTATGATAACCTATACAACTGTATGTACGCGGGTAATGCCGCAAGAAACAGCTAGTAATTTAATATTTTGCTATAACGTGTGAATACTTCATAGATAATAATAAAATAAAACTACATAACACTTTATAATATTTTCTATATTTTACTAATGACTTTTCTAATATTTTTTTACAAATGTTTGGTTTACAAGCAATAAATCTAAATTCTATATAATGGAATGTAGAATAGAGGTATTTTTTTATATACAACTTTTTTAAATTAAATAAAGTTAACAACTTATATTTAGTATTAATACAAGATAATGTTGAGATTATTAATGTACTTTGTCAAATCCAATATTTACTAGTTGGATTATTAGGTGGATTAGGATAACTATGTTGAGTAAGGGGATCAGGAATATTCGGGAAAGAATATGGATCATTCATATATTTATATTCACCGGAGAGACCAGCTAAACTCATGTTTAGGGAATTATGGGAAGGACTCCAATTAGCAGATGAGGATGGGTCTACTGAAACTTTTGAATAATCAGTAGGGATTTTTGGATAATCATTATTTGGTAATGCCTTGCTGTATTCGTCAGCAGTTGTTTTCACAAAAGCATCCTCTCTATTTTCAATAACTTCTTCACTGGTTACTTTATCTTCACCTTCTGTTTCTTTCGGAAGGTAATTAATAGGTTTATTGTAGACATCGTTATTGGGATATCTTGCGTAGTCATTTCTGGGGATAGCAGCGTCCAATATTTGGCTATGTGTAGTTCCATTTGTACCACTCACTAGATGGCTGAAAGTAGAACCAGATGTACTTGGGAAAGCAGCGTTTTGAAAAGCTTGGTTTAAATGTTGTGACTGCGCCATGAGTTGATTATAGTTAGCATATTTTTGATGATGCCAAGGATCAGGATGCTGTGTGTGATGTTGAGATAGAGATGAAATTTCTCCAGCTGGATACGGACACGGTATCTGAGGCATTGGCAAGGTGGAGTAACCAGTGAGACTAGGAGTTGAATTTGAACCGGTGTGTTTTCTTAATCGGGCACGTCTATTTGAGAACCAGACCTGCAAATAAAAAAATATGGTACCCAATATTAATTTTAATAATTAATAAGACAGTAATAGTTTTCAGATATACCATTAAATTTTTGTTTTGTGAAATCAAACTTTAGTGGTGACTTAATTAGTGTTACATGGAAACCCTCTATCGATTGCAAAAAGAATCATCAAAGTTGACATAGATTTGAATAAAAATATTGTACGATATGCATACATAAAAAAATTATTAAAGGCTTTCTCTTAAAAGGCCTTACTGTTTGAACCATAGTTTAAGGATAGTACTTGTCTTATTCTCTTTCTATGTTTTGAACTAAATATTCATCGATTCTATTCTTTATCTACGACCAATATAAATAAGTCTATTTTTTAACAAAAATAAGGATATACGGTGAACTTACGGTGGTAAGTTAAATTAATTAATAGACATTTGAAAATTTCAATATGAGTACACATACAAAATCATAAACATAGTTTTCACTAAGTAGAAAATGACATACTATAGAGTTATAAGTAAGATATAAGTTAAATATACTTATTAGTTAAACCAAAATACTGAATATTGACAATATTTTTGGCGCAAAGGCGGCCACATTTTTTTGCGTAAATGAGGTATTGGGTTCGATTTTTAATCGGGTCAATTTAGGAAACTTCTAAATTGTCTTTGTCTGTCCTGGGTTGCATTAATATAGCTTGAGGGCCAGGCGATTTATGGTATGGTACCATGATTGTATGGTATTTATTATTACCAATTAATAGTAGGTAATTTATGTGCGATTTAGATTCATAATTTAAAACAGAATGAAAGAAATTATCGTATGATAGTGATTTTTTATACATCCTTAGATGGTGCAGCGGTTTTAATACGCTATGGCACCTTCTGATATTTGCAGTTTGATTTCCGTATAAATTTGAGACATTATATAAATATGTTTGTTTTCTAATTAATACATGTATTTAAGTAAATCTTTTAGTTTTCTCAGAAGAAGATCGTCTAGAACTCATAGTGCACTGTATGCTAAATAACCAGAGAGCAAAATAAAGATTGATTGTTCCTTATACGATAAATATATTATTATTAATTATTTTGTTTATATTTAGGCTAAAGATATGATAGATATTTTTTACCTGTATTCTGGCTTCAGTAAGTCCAGTTTGGAGAGCCAACTCCTCCCTGGTGTACACGTCAGGATACTGCGTTCGATGGAAGGCTCGTTCCAGGGCGTCCAGTTGTTCCCCGGTGAATGTAGTACGGGAACGGCGCTGTTTCCGTTTCAACGTCAAACCAGGCTCCGACTCGATGTCCGAGGAATCCGACCCACGACCTGAATGATATGTATTATTAGTAAGTTATGTTCTCATAAAGTTATTTTGAAATAGGGTTTACTGCACAGTTGGTTCACTAAATATATTAATTTTGTCATGACCGAAGCCTCTGTTTTATCTCTACTTCTTATATACGTATTACAGATTGCACTGTTTACTTTATTTTGTACAGTAGAATAAATCGAAAACTACTCTTTACAATCACAAATTCTATCAATCATATAATTTTTTTTGGAAATAAAGTATTCTAACTTCGTCTCCATAGTCGATACAAATATATTTAATTAGCAACGTATACGAAATAATATTTATTAGCTAATTAATAACAGATGAAGTAAAGATTTAATCCAGTAACTAATATAAAATGTATCACGAGGTGTCCTTTCTTGAGGCGGATTTACGTTCCTGAACAATTTATTTGACACCGCAGCAATTTGTCTTCATCTCTTTTTTGAGACACGCGTTATTTATTAGCGGAATGTTTTTTGTAAAAACCCACATCATGTTTTAATTCGCCTAAATCAAGACCCGTCAGAGTCGCGGGTCGGCCGAACTCATTTATAAATCGGTAGCGGATTCCTAAGGGAAACATATTAAAAAACAACCTCAACAATACCCAGCTTTGCCCTTAAAACTGATTTTAAAAAATGCGGCTTATATTAATAGCCTTTTGAAAGAAGTCAAAATTGAATGAGATGAAAAAATAGGGGCTCAGTGCGGCGCGGAGTAAGGAACACCCAGTGTGGCGGTCTCTTTGTCGGCTTCTTTGCTGTTCGGGTGACATTTTGGCACCATTCAATATTTTGGTGTCGCGATCTGGATTTACGATATGTAAACGAATATGTGGTTTAATTCCGTATGGCTCAGTTACATCCGATTTGTTTCTGCCGCGATTGGAACGTACTGTATTGTGTTAAGTGCCTTATTATAGGAGTTCTTTTTGAATATGGATTAAATTCCTTAGCTACATATATAAACTTTTAAACACATTTTAAATAAAAAAAAATAAGGAAAACATAAATATAAAATTTAGTATTCGAAATGCATGTTTATAATATCTATATTTTAAATTACATTTGTCAAGAATGTCGAAAACTTTTAACAGTTATAATTAATGTAGATTTAAAAAAAAATGTTTACAAATATTAATGAATTGTAAAACACTGTTCTAATCGGCGGAAGTCTGTGATTACCCGTAGTGGAAGAGCTTGGCGGGTTATAAACCAAGGGGCATCATATCTAACCACAAAGGCCGCGACGTTAAATAAAAAACTACGTATTGTAATAAAATGATTTACATTGCTCAAATTCTCTGGCTCGCTCGCGACTGGGACAGATTTATTTAGTCTTTTTTGTTCCGAGCCCTGATCGTAAGTACGAGACTAAACGACTCTCGCATTTCGAAAATAAGACCACTTCGATATAAGACTTTAATACTGTATCCCAAAGTTCATTTCGCTGATATGGTCGCTAAAGTTCACAAAAGCAATACTCTAAAGGATTTTATGTCTGTCGAAGAGAGAGAGTTTTATGTAGTTGGCTTTAGTGGGAGAGAGCCGGGAGACTTTTAGCGATTGCCGAAATGTGACCCCGTGAAGACCGCCGACTCCAACCGCCTCATAATTTGGAAGTTGAAAGAGCTGCGGCGTTTTAACACCTTCATAATCTCGGTTCATTAAAGCACCCGGCCTGCCTTTGTTTCAGCGGGTTGTTGGGATGTTAACAGATGGTCGGATTAGTACGCCATGCAGTGGGCGTATGTTGCTCATTTGTATCACGATGAAATAAATACAATGAACCGATTAGCATTTCTTGTTGTTTTTTTTTTGCAAAATATTCTAATCGAAATGAGTCGTAATATTAGTCTATATTATATATTGTTTTAATTAAATAATTAATTAAAATCTACATGGTACATATTTGTTAATATTCATGGAATTAAACAACTTGCTTCAAATTGTAAATCAAAATATAAAAATAGTTTTATGAAAGGTTCATACTAAGTTAGTCGTGTTCGCATAGTTTGTTTGAATAGTTAAAAAATTTAATTAAAATTTTGACTTCAGTTTAACTTTAGTTTCATGTAAACTATCACTGGTTTGGTACACTCGTTATGACTTTTCTTGTATTGTCATTCGGTAGATAGTTTATTATTAATATAACCGATTCCAGTTATTAACTGTCCACTTCTGAACATATGCCTCCTCCTAGGGGGGTTTTGCCTATATCTTATTTACATCATCATCAAAGCCTAACTGGAGTTGCCACGTTTGGCAAGAAGAAGGATTTTTAAGAAGGATGCTGCTGCCTATCCCTCGACTTTTAAGTTAATCCATTAAGAACATTAATCCATAATAAAATAGGTTTTAGTTTTTTACATGTTAAATCAATATGAAATTAGTAGATTATACCTAATGTGAGTTAGGAGTTTACTTTTCTCAACAAAGAGCTTAAGATGCTTTTTAATTAAGTATTTATAGACCTTTGTGGTAAATGTTCTTATTCTTCAGACATGATATGTAACATACGATATCTATTACTTAGTACTTTGAAATCTAGTAATAATGGAATCTAATGTATATTTTTTAGATTTTAATCAAAGTAGAAGGCAATCATAATAATAACAATTCTATTATATTATTTACTACAATGAGTTTTCAGCTTGTTTAGTGTTTAGGGACCTCATGTGAAAAAAGTAGATATGTTAATGATGCGCCTAATGGTTAAATATGAGCAAATACTGAGAACAGTACATTATATGGTATCATGGGCATCACAGTGTATTTTGCAACGTCCATGGTATGGTTCATGTCTATAGGCGACGGTTTCTACTTTAAATCAAGTATTGGCTTGTTTGTTAGTGCAAAAAAAAATATTCATCGATTTTTTATTATTCCACATAACGTCTCTACTATAACTTGATGATGTGGGGGGAAAGGGATTGTTATCAATAGGGAGGTTAGTCTCCATTGTTATCAAAATATCCTATCAGGTCGACCTCCATGCGGTTCCCTATGGAAACCCTCGTGACCAATCTATCGTTGAATTTGTCACGTTGGGCAACTGACCTGCCTTTTCATCCTCATCCATCCATCTATCATCCCTCACTGGTGCTCCACCAATGTATATTGATAGCGCAGATCCATTATATGAATATTTAAATTCCATTTTAAATTAAGACTGTAATTCTAGATGAGAGCTGTCAAGTATTTTGTTGCTTATTGTTTTGTTATGAGTGTACAACGTTTCTCGTTCGGATTAATTTTGTTAACTATATTCATCATCGGTTCTATTCAAATGTCTTCAACGAAATGTGGGCTAGTGAATCTAATTACTGTCGTAAATTTTTGTTTTGATTTGGAATTAAGTAATTTTTGGTAATATGGCATTTTATTGGATAATAACATCTTGCTCAAGTATTAACAAAAGTAAATATTGATTGATGAAAATAGATTTTTTTTCAAAATAAAAATTCGAAAAAAAAACTTTCGAAATTAATTTGTTATACGGTAGAAGTGCGTAGAAATAAAATGTGTGATAATTAAAAAGTTTTATAACAATTGAATACGATGGAGTTGGTTGGGTTAAACCACACGGGTCAGAGGTATAGAACATGGTCTATTCTTTTTAAGCATTCTTTGTCGGCAAGTCGTGCACTTCCGGACGCATGGAGGTCGGGTCGTTATGGGAGGCCTTTAGTTGAATAATGTGATGAGACAAAATTGTCTTGAATACAACGCGAGGTAATAAATGTTCCCATATAAATAGTTGATGCATAGCGGGCGTGACACGGGCTACACGACATATACACAAGTAAAATAGTAGAGTACATTTTTATATTCTATGGTATCTATGATGCTGTTCATATCTATAGTCGATGGTAATATTTATCGTACGGTGGACCGTTTGTATAACTTGTTTGTTTGCTAAGTTGTATAAAAAAGTCACTAAGTGTATTACATACAGAAGATAATGATCTATACTAATATTAGAAATTCAATACTCCTTTCCACTCAAGGTTTGCTGGAACAGAACTCTTACAGAGTTCGCCTCGCGCTCGCCTGTTGTACATATTTATTTAGAATAAAATATAAAAACGTAATTTTTGTGTACAAAAAAGCATAAATAAATAAAATTAAAGAGGATTTGATTTTTTTTATACAATTTAGAATGACAAGATGACGGCCCGGATTTTGTTTGAAATGGTTAAACTCAAAAAATACTTAAATGTTTTTAAAAAAATCACCGTTCTGCCGTATAGAAAAATATTCTGTAACTGCATCTATGTGAAAATAAGGAAAAAATGCTGATATTAAACTAATTGCATGATGACTATATGTAGCAGTTATGTTTGCAATTTTGTACTCTTCATTATGCGTGAGAATCAATACTTTGAGTATTAACTACTGAATATTTAGAAAAATATTGGAAATGAGTTATGTAGACAAAGTATGTAACTACTCAAAACAAATATTTTACAAAATGTCCTATTATATTTTTTTTTGTTATCTGCTACGAGCAGTATATATTTTTATACTACTATGGTGGCAAAGAAGTTTACAGCTCGTTTGTTGGAAAACGATTATTGTATTATCAGGAAACTTTATTACACTATATATACAGTTAATACATGCCTATCTTCAATTACATTTAAATCAATTTATATAAGCGTTGGTATTTTAATACAATTTCAAATTTAGAATCTGCTCATTACATCCAAACACATTTAAATTCATTTAACTGTCTCAGATGTAGACTGATTGCGTGTACGCCGCACGTCGTGGAGCTTCGTAGTAATCATCATCCGCCACTATCACCACATCACTTCATCTAACGACAGTTATTAAGTAAATGAGAGATTTTATCGCGTACCTTTGTTTCAATGTACTCCTGTGAATGTAACGCTTTATTAAAAGACTTTCAGTGACAATTTGAGATATTCTGTTGAATATGAGACGTTTTATTACTTTCAAATGTTTTGCAAAGGATTAGTCGACAGTTTTTATGCAAATTAGAATAATGAACAAGCTAAAGGCTTATTTAATGGAAAGTGGTAACTGTCGCCTAAAAACAGGAATATAAACGATACTATAGACATTACAGAGTATACTATGATCTCCGTGATACTCTATATGTTGTCATTCCTAAGTATTAAAGGGAAAAGGGATTGTTAGAAATGAGGTCTAACATCTCTATTGCTAGTAATCTTTAATAATAATATCTTATAAGGTCGACCTCCACGCGGTTCTCTCTACAAACCATCGTGGTTCATTATCGTGAAATTCTTCATGATAGGATAACTGACCTGCTTTCATTCTCACTTATCATCTCCTACTGGTATCGCGCCAGCATATACCGATAGCGCAGACGGGGTTACCATTTCATTATCACCCATTAAAAAAAACCTAAGAATTATGATGTTATGCCTTCGTATTAGATAATTTCACTACCCTATCACACCCTATCAAACCGAAGCACATCTATGTAATCATAGTTACTTCACTAAAGATTTTTGTACATAAAAAGTCTCCTTCTGGTATTTTTAAAATTTTCCCGGTAATTATAATTTAAAATCAGCAAGTATTTTTAAGAAGTTTTTATTTACAGGTATTTAGTAAAATTTGTTAAATGCAAATATATAGATTTAAACTTAATGGCGCTCGAGTCAAATGGTAAAAGTTAGAGAGCGAAACTTCCGTCAAAACTTTTAGTACAGGTTGATCTTAATTATCTTAGCAGTACAGGTATTATTGGTATTAAAGACTGGAGGTAAACGGGCTATATTTTATATTGTAGTAAGCGAGATGGCGATAAACCTTGCTTTTTGTTTTGGACTTTAAAGTAAGATAAATATCTAGAGGTGGATAATATAAAGCAATATATTATTGTATATTTTTGTTACAAAAATTATATATTTATATTAAAATCTGTTATTTAAAAAATAATATTGGAAAATAGATATCCAACCGATATGACCGATATCGAAATGGGCGATGACCTTTCTACCGCCACTAATGTCCAGAGATCCTCATTATATAGATATCTGATTGGTATCAATATTACCCATGCCTATAAATATTGCGTTTGGTGCCCTACATAATTTACAATTTTATTGCTGTTAACTAATAAAAAATATTATTTCATCTTTTTATTTACGTGGCAAGCAATAGTAAATAAATCACAACCTTTGTTAATAACAAACAAAATAACCATGCAATCGCGAAAAATATCTGGATGTACAAAGTACTCCTATTATGGACGCGGCGGCCACATTGCTCTCGGTTAAACACTAACAGGTACATAGAGCATAAATTTAAAGCACAATTAATTTGCGACAATACGTACAAATAGAACGCAACAATGACGTACTACAAGCAAAATATGTTACCTATGTGCATTGTTCGTGTTTCAGCACTATCGAAAGCTCAACGGGCGGCTATGTCCCGCTTTGTCGGCCGCTTATATCGGCGCCCGCCAAACGCAGCCGCCCTTTGACGTTCGAGAGACCAGCTCCAATATTTCAAATGGCAACAATGACGAAGTGATATTTTGTGTGCGGAAATTGATTTTTTTAACACACTTCGTGAGAAAGCTTTGACAGGTTGTGGCTATTAAATTGCGAATAAGAATTTGAATAGACGGGAAGTTATTGGACGTTAATGTTTGGGTATTTGTGGTTGTGATGATACTCGTACGTACGGAAGTGTATATTTATCGATTGGTAGATATATTTTTTATTATTTATTTATTATCATAATGCATTCATGTACATAATATAGAGTAGTTACAATGTTCTTATCTAGAGTAAGTACATGAACCCTGTTTTTTTTGTAAATGGATGATAATGGAATAGTAACCCCACCCGCGCTATCGATATACACCGGCGGGGCACCAGTGAAGAATGATAGATGAGGATGAAGTAGGTCAGTTAGCCCATCGTGACGAATTCAACAAGAATTGTTCACGATGGTTTCCAGGGGGAATCACGTGGAGGTCGACCTAATAAGGTATATTGCTAGCAAGGGGGCTGTCAAACTCCATTGCTAACAATCTTTTTCCCCCTATGAACTCTGTTTGGGTATAGCAAAATTTTATTAATAGGTAGCTAATATACATGCATAAATGTCAATTTCGTTGTTAGATTATATTTAATTATTTTATATAATTGCTCTATATGGTAGATCAAATATACTAATAATTATAGGAGAATGTAATGTGTGAGAAAAAAATAAACGTTAGTGTATCTAATAAAAAACAATATAGGTACAGGTACATAAGTGTATTTTGAAATGTTTATTTTACGGATATTTAGTATATAATGGATAACTGTAATGGATAGATAGATGAATGTAGGGTACTTTTTATCCCGGTTAGTAAAGGTGACTCAATGAACACATAAAATTTAATAATTAAAATGACCTGTAAAAACAAAGGCTGTCGAAAGCAGTTTTTTTACAAAATCATATTTTTCATAACACTTTTTTATTTTTCAGTTACGAATTAGGTCCTACAGTTCCATTTTCAAAATGCTAACCTAGGTGAAAGTTGAAAAATTCTGGACAATTTCTTTTATATACCTAATAAAATGGGATTGCTTTGTTACTAGTGTAGTAATAATCTTGGGATGAATCTCGATAATGGAAAAACATATCTAGGGAATAGAGTTGAAGTTTACTTTGTGGAAAACTACAAAGTCTGTATGATATTACCTATTCTAGAAACCAGCAAATAAAGTCGAGGAGTAATATGTAGCAACAGAGTAATCTGTTTGTTGATACTACATAGCAACATAATTTTATAGAATCATGTTTTAAAAAATGACAGAATTAACATTAATGTGTAGCGTTATTTTTAATAGCACAATAAGTAGCAATGCATTTTCACTGTCTGACCGGGGTTAAAAAGTAGCCTTTATCTTTCTCCATCCTATACGAGTATATGTATATGGTAAGAGCGTACCAAATTACATACATAATTATTCATTAAGCCATTAAGAAACTAGTATCTGTATTCTAAAACAGTTCCTGAAACATTACTCGACTCGATTCAACCTTAGATTTTACGAGTAGATAAAATTGGTACTTTTAGTTGGAAAAATATTTATTTATTTATATTACACTTTATTGCACCAAGTAAAAAACATAGTCCTCACGCAAAGTAAGATATGAGTTAGGTAAGAACTGTTAAACTCAATGTACTACATCTGGAGTTATCTTAAGGGACAGTTGAGGAATGTTTTTGTTAATAAGAAAAAACCTTTTAGTATAAATTTGGTCTGTAGAAAAATATTGTGAAGATTTTCTAACATTTATGATTATATTATCCTTATGATTTAATAAGTTTCCTTAAAGAATTCTCAAGGATATCTTATTAGAGATTTGATTCGAGGAATATAGGCCGAAACGTTGTAAAATATGGATGTAAGAAGTAACAATCAAACGCCAATTTCAAATTTATGATATTAGTAAGGATAATATTTATAATGGTATTTTGAAGAGTTAAGCTACTATACAGGAAGGTGTAGGTACTAAATTAAGATGATATTTTAATACGGTTTCATGGTCCTTTTTCAATAAACAGGGTCTCGTTAACATAGTTTTTAATGTGGAAACAGAATGCTACATACCTACTTGATTATATAGATGGAGCATCGAGTCTCAAAAACGGGTTAACTTTTTGTTAGCTAATTGTCTATCTATATAACCTAAGGCTACATGATGGCATTATAAAATATTTAAGTTGCTACACCATATTTATTTTTAAGTGTCAAATTAGTAGCCATGAAAAAGTCAAACAATCAACAAAGTTTTACACGTCTAATTGGTTAAATTATCCAGAACTGTATTTGATATTAAAGTTGACAATACACACTCACCGCCAAGAATTCCATCAATGCTGTAGTCTTTCTTCCCATCTGGGTCTCTCGCGCCTCCGCGGAGCAGCCGGGAGATCGACGAAATGCTGGGTGGATCGGTCACGCCCTCCTGTAACACGTGATTGTCTGATTTATTATAAAAAAGGAACAGTCTCTCAACTTTTTGTCGTGCCTCCGATTGTTTCTCAACTGTAAGACAAAGACCGCCCACTGTGCTGTTTTTAGAGAATACAGGTAAAAAGTTCCGTTCTAAAAGTTGACAGTATTTTTTCGCAACCTTGATGGCATTTGAAGGTTTTAAGTTATTTTGTAATTGAATTTCTCTAAGAGTACTCGTATATTTAAGTATGTCTGTGTTTATGGTAGAAGAAAATTAAGTACAAATGTCCATTGCATATGCACCTATCGTCTCGTCCACTTTAATATAGATATTAAGTATTAAATGTGTAATTATAAAAAATAAATTTTTATTTTATCCACTGAATTTATTAATTAATTATAACTAGATAGTTGGTATTATTGTGTGGTAGATACCACATAATAATATCAACTATTTAGTTCTCAATCCATTCTAATTATAAAAGTCTAGAATTATGTCTAGAATACCCACATTCAATTTATTTACTAGTTTGGAATAGTTTATTTTCCAAATTGGTTTGATGACATGGGCTCTCATTTGTGGTAAGCAAGATACCAACTACTACACTAAGAAGATTGTAATATATGTATATACCGATATATCAATCATTAAAATAACAAATTTTTATTAGTTGTAAATAAAAACAAATATAAAACAATAAAGCGAATAATTCGAAGTTTGTTGACTCTAGCTCAGGAGAATAATTCAGTTTCAAAGATCTGGTTTCAGCTGAAATCTTTAAATTTTTGGAAGTATTTGAAACATCTAAGAAAGAACTGTCACATTGATTTGTGCTTTAGACTGAACGTAAAGCTGTCTTATAAATAAATAAACTATACTACATATACTATACTGTTTATTTATTTGTGAAGAAACAAATTGTATACACAAGAAATAGGGTGTTACCTTTAGTAACTTTTCTCGTATTTCCCATGAAAATATCCCGGGGTTTTGTCGTTTGAGCTCCTCAATCCTTGCTTCCACCTCTGGTGTCGCTACTCTCGGCTTAGAGCCACCAATCACTCCTGGTCTGATTGACCCCGTCTCCTAGACGAAAGGATTTGTAATTAATATTTTATATTTAAAATTCATTTATAGCTTTAAATTATAGAACTATACATAGTCGAAATCATTAGAGTCTTTTATTATTATAATGGTAAATTGAATCAATAATTGAGTACATTCAAATTAAAAAGCAAAAACGTAATTTGTGACATTCTTAGCTGTTAGATCTATTCCACAGACTCAATTACAAACTCAGATCTTCGCGACTTCGTATGCGTGAACGGGATATGTTAACTGATCAGGATAAAAAATTGCTTATGCCCATTTCCACCCTATAGTGATTGGTTAAGGCGGTAAGGTGCCAAGAGTGTTACCTCTTGGCACCTTACCGCCTTAACTTTAACCCTATCATGCAAACTTACTTTTATATTAGAATAACTTTAATAGAATTTAAATAGATTAACCTTAGAATAACTAATATGCAATTTTATATAAATATGCAGGTACTATAAATAATTTGCATGATTCGAGCTATAGAGAACAATCATTTCTATAGATATCTTTGATAATGTGCCGTTTTCTGTATATATAGTTCTAATTGAGTCGAAGTGAATAGTAATATAATACATACTTTTTGTATATAATTATATATATTGGCTATAAACACTATGAAAGACTCAGAAAATACTATGTGTGCCCAAGATCCACCTCATTGAACGCCGCCACTCCAAATGATTAAATTTAAATGCACTTTCTATCCGTATTTGTGCTGGTTTACTTATTTTTCAGAATAATGATATAAAAAAAACATTGTTCCAAGTTATATATAAAAAATACACAGAAATTTTGTATAGCATAAAAATAAAAAAGTCCTTATAGTCTTTATAAGATAATGATAAGTTATGTCCATGGTACTGCGCATGTTTATAGGCGACGGTTACCACTTTCCATCAGGTGGGCCGTCAGCTTGTTTGCCATTCTAAGTTGTATAAAAAAAATATTTTACCAAAGAGAGAATACATCAGTACAGAAGTCATCTATACATATGTATTAGTTGTATATGTTGTATCAGCCGTTAACTGTCCACTGCTGAATATAACTTTCCTCATAAGGAGGGTTTTGCCAATAGTTGCCACGTTTGGCAAGCGGGTTGGCAACCGCAGTTTGGCTTTTGGTGATGTTTTATAAGGGATGATGCTGGCTATTCCTCCATGATAAGCACCCGTAGTCGCCTCTCACGACACCTACGGGTAGGAAAGGGGTGGCCTATTCTACGCAGAGACCTATACGGCCAAGTATATATATGTATGTATATAGATGCTTTCTCCCTACCCGTGTTTCTTCCGTAGAGCAGCTGTGCTTTTATGGCTGGCAGTGAAATTACAGGGTAAGAAAGTATAATATTATAGTCCTCAAGAAAGGTTACGTATAAGGGGTACAATGGGTATCATAGTGTGTTCTGCAAAGTCCATGGTGCTGTTCATATATATAGGCGATGATGACTTTCCTTTAAAAGGAGCTGTCAGCTTGTTTGCCATTCAAAGCATTATAAAAACTCGATATTTTGCAACATTATACGGCTTTATATTTTTGTAAAAATATAACAATAATTTATTTATTTAAACTTTAATACATGGTAAAATTCTATGTATATTTGGCGGATTTAGCACCGGACGGTTTTCTCTACCAGTCAACTATTGGGCAAATCGTGAAATGAGTAGGCGGTGCATTATTGAATAAAGTAAATCTTGATATATTTATATAATATAAACATTTAAATAATGTATTAAATAAATAAATAAACAAACATATAATAAATGCATAATTAATAAACACATAAAATATTATTAGATTAAACAATTAACTGTAACAGAAGAACAAATAGCAATCTATGACTCAAACAAAATAACCAGCAAGATTAAATTTAAAGGGAAAATTATTTTACTAAGAATTATAATCTTAATACAATTTGTGTAGATTTTCCTTAGATATATTGTGTTTTCATAAATGTATTCAAAGGCAACTGTAAAGATTTTTGATTATTCAAAACATTCACGTAAGAGCTTTCCTGAACCGAGTTTATTAATCGAGTGTCTCGAGCCTCTTTCCTGTTATTACATAGTTGTAGTATTTTCTGCTTTATCCGATATTGCACTGTAAGCCATCATCAACATCATTTGAGCCGTTATCTGTCCATTGTTGAACATAGACTGACATAAGAAAAAGGAGCGTTTCTTATGGTAGTTTACCATTGGGTGGATTTTGCCAGCAGTTTCCATGATACTGTAAGTCATAATACTGCGGAAATAGATAAAATAAATGTTTGACCGTTGCTGAATCTGTCAATAGTCTTTTTTTTTCTGATTGCTTAGGCAGTACTGCTAAGTTTTCCCGCTAATTTTAGTATATACTAAAATTGCTTTACAACGTCTATGTCCTTATTCATGCTCATTGGTATTCCAGATATCCCTTTTAAAACAGGATCAACGGAACTTGAGTATTCGAAGGCTCTGTATTATGTCGGGCATATTCTAATTTATTTAGATTATATTCTTTTAGTAGGTGCATGTTATTTGAATTCTTGAATAGGTATATAAAGCATTTTTTTCACCTAATATTTTTATAATGATTTTGTTACTAAAATACATATTTTGTACAAAAGTCTGCTTCGCAGAGTCATCCTTGTCCCATTTATTTCTGCGTAGTAGTTGTGCTTGTACAACTGAGTTTTGGTTTGGAGTATAGGATATGTCAGTGAAATTATAGAGTACGAAAGCGTAACTTAAATATGCATAATAAAGTGGTGATTTATTTTTCATAATTGGTCCCGCCCCGAGCGATTGGTTTTCCAAAGTTATAGGGAGGCAAAATAAAAAAAGTCATACCGCAAATTGTCTAATCTACAGGGAGATTAAATGTATAAAAATACTTTGCAATAACTTTAATATAATAGATTAAAGGAAGAGATCTGGAATAAGATACATGGGACAATTGCAATTAATGTTTTTATTAATAATGCTATACTCATCAACACGAGAGAATATATCGGGAGTATACTATTGGTGCCTATAGTACTTTTGAAATCATTACAATAGATTTTCTTAGCCAATATTCGATTCACAATGGGTTACAATCAGGTAGTATAAAGGTCGTACCCTCATGGAGCGTAGAGAAACGCTTCCTGGGTGAAACAATCACCATTATTATGATGGCTATAGGAGTGAAAACAGACCTTCAGGCTTGGTTGCGCAGGGATCTATGGCGATTGTTCGTAGTGACCAGTTACGCGTAGTGATGTGCCCAGTCAGCTTATTTTCATATTCAAGTATTTTGGTACTTGTTAGAAAAGGAATCGATCCTTTGAAGACTTGGACAAATACTTAAATACTTGATATGGGTACTCTATTCAAGTACAATTTGATTTGTTAGATTTGTTAATTAAAAATAAATGTTAAACTTTTAAAATTTTTTGGTATTTAAATTGTCACATATTTTTCACCACATCTGCCCTTCATACGCTTTCTGTTTTTACCCAATGGTTAGCTAGAATAGGTAGGTAGAATAGGTAGAGAATGCCATATGACATTAAGCTCGCCATTTGTACAAAATTTTATTGTGCAATAAAGAATAAATAAATAATAAAAGAATAGAACAGAAAATTAAAACTTGTATACTACTTGTACTATCTGTATTCGAATATCATGTATCCAAATTTAGTGCATTGAGTACTCGAGTAACTATTTGAGTCAGCCTGACTCGGCACATCACTAGACACGTGTGGGTTGGATTATGTAGATACTGAAAGTTACGTTTGAAATAATGGCGCATGATGGTATTTATTTGATAGTGTGTGGGTTCGAAATATAAAAATACGATTTGTTGTACAATTAATACTTGTAGGTTGGTAGTATTTTTGTGTAGGTTTGGTCAGGTAAGTTATTATGAACAAGCTATTTCCTACGGTTTTGTCCCCGGGGAACAATATATAAGGCTCAGTAATTACTAAGTTAGAATATGACCCACCCGTGTACCAAATTTCATTCAAAATTGTTTAGCCGTTTAAGCGTGGTTGAGTAACAAACATCAAAATATCTCTACAGACTTTCACATCTATAATATTATCCTATTAATCATCATTTCAGCTATTATCTGTCCACCGCTGAACATAGGCCTCCCCCGTAGACTGTCTTAAGGAACAATCCTGAGCCACCTGTATCCACTGACTTCCTGCAATGCGTTTGAGGTCGTCACTCCATCTAATCTTTTTACCAATGTAGGTTGTAAAATATTTTGCGTTTGAAATAAATATTGAACAATATATAATATGATATATTAATATATAAAATTATATTTCTGTGGGAAAAGTTGTCGTGAGATCTACATAGATGACGCAAAAGATATGTTTTATAAAAAATAAATGCTTAAGATGTTTTAGCCAATAATTATAACAAACTAACGGCCCACCTAATGGAAAATGGGAACTGTTATCTACATACATAAAAAGTAACATGGACATCACAAAATACACTGATCCATCGTACGCTTTGTGCCTTGCTACGAGGGGAGATCAAAAAGTTCGCGGAATGAGGGGAAAGGGGGTTAAAATTAAACATGAAACTATTTTTCCTTTTCAATATATTATCCCTTAACATTAATATATTTTTTCGTATCTCTCAAATAATTTGTATATACCATCGAAAAAAAGGTTTATCTTTACTGTTAAGATAGGCCGACATTACAGACTTGACTTCTTGTTTGAAAAGACCATTCCACTTGTAAACTATGATTTTACCAGAGGTTGAGTCCGTGTAATTTGCTAACAGCTCTTGAAAAATTGTCTGAGTGGATTTTTCTTGCTTGGTGAGGAACTTAATAATAGCGCGTTTAATTTTCTCCATACTCGCTGACATCTTCCCAATTCACTTGTTTGCAGGTCGATAACTTAAAAGTTAATAACCCGATTTAGTTCAAACATGGTATATATACTCTTAATAAGGTGCTTAACAAGTGACTACCTGGACGAGTAAACCAACCCTCACCAACTCCTCCATTCCGCGAACTTTTTGACCTCCTCTCGTATTCCTCAGGACTATGATATTATGTTTCCGTATGTTGTAAGTAATTGCTGTTCCAACTGAATTGACACAAGAATATTTTAGAACATTATGTATTTTTTGCCAAAAATGTGGTATTAAACTTCGATTTATTAATATGTAATATTAAGTGCTCCGCCAAGACATCAAATTAGCCGAGCAAATATTGCTCCATTTACAAAGTTTTTATTTTAAATCAGTCTGTATTTTTGTTATAAAGAATATGAAGCCATCTGTTACTAAGTTTTTGGTTATGTCAAAATCGTTTATATTGTACTTTTCTTTTTTATATGTTGTTTTAATTCGTTGTAATCGGAATCACATATATGTAAAGCCTTAGAGAATTTTTAGAGCCTTTATTAGTTTTATAAATTTATAGGTATTTATTATTATATATGACACCAAAAGAAAATTGATTCACATAATGATATTATAACAGAAAAAGTAGATACAAGCGTTACTAGCGCGTCGATAATGCAGTGTATAGTAGATTTTAATCAATTAGAGCTTTTAATTTCCATTAAAAAATTAAATGCCTTTAAATATGTTGTTGCTATGTTCTATGTATTTTTTTCTGTAGTTTTTCAATGTAGAACATTTCTTCTTTAAAAAGTTGCTTGATGCATTTTAGAATATAATTAAATAGCAAATAAGAAATATTAAGGGGACGTGAATGTGAGAAGATTCGAGTATTCCGTATTACTAAAATAAAAATCTGCCACTATCGTACTTGTTTCAGTCGTAAAAAAAGAATGTATATATTATTATTGTTTCAGCTTAAGGATAATAAATAATTCAGTGAAAAGGGTCAAAAATCTATTAGTGTAATCTTTGAATAACGATAATTGTCTTAGTAGTGAAGAGAAAAGATATAATGCCTTAAATAAGGTGTAATTTTAGTTTCAAGAAAAGTTACAATATACCTATATTATATCTATTAATATAAGATTGCTCTCAGCAATACGACCGCCTTACTGTACTTATATAATTGTATTGTTGTGTTTGTAAATTGTCTTGCTTATTTCCTATATTGTATAACGCAAATAAAGTATACTCATTCATTCATCTATTCAAATCAATATTGAGTATTTTAAAAAATGGCTTATTTATAATTAATGGACTAATTGTTGCCTTGGGTTGTAATGTAGTAGCAAGTGTAAATTAAGAACAAAGACTTTTGAAATTTCAGTTCATGAGAAACAATATTTTTTTGTATCTGTTAAATTATTATTAGGTGTATAATAAAGTGATTGAGAATTGTTATTACAAAAAACAAAAAATATGAATTGAACCTAAGAATATTTAAACAAACTGTTTAAAAATAAATCAATTAAAATATATCTTTCTTCATCTTTTAACGTTTACAAATGCCGCAAAATTTGTGTGAAATACATTAACACAAACTTTTTCACAGTTTTTTATTAATCTTTATCTAATACATTATAAATAAAATCAATATTAGAGGAATATATTTTATAAGAAAGATTATTAGCTAAATAACAAAGAAATTTCGAAGTGCTTTGAAAATATTTGAAAAATAAATTACCTAGTAAGTAGAACAATTTTATTAAAACTGTTTGATAAAACATTTGGAATAGAATTTAAACATCTAATATTCTTGTATTTGGATAGTTTTTGAATTATAGATACGAATGACGGATTAATTTTTTTAGTTGATTCTTTTAAGTTATTACAATTGTAATTTTGGGTTAAAAAATAGGTATCGTATTTTTTAAACTGATAGTAGGTATACCCACATTCCGTTTATCGAAATAATTTATTACACATTTGTTGGTAATCTTAATAATTTAATAAAATTGAAACTAGACGGTATCTGTACAAGAAAGATATTTTTGAAAAATTGATATGAGAGGTCCTACTAAGAGCAATAAAAGCCAAGATAACAATTTTAGGACGTCTTGTCTGTCTGTATGTTTGTTCCGCCATCATGCAAAAACTACTACATCAAATTGCATACAGTTTTCACAGTTGTATTCCTAAATATTAAACTTAAAATTTGGTAGATGTTTATCTTGATTTGCAATTTTAAAGTGGTTTATTTAATTGGTTTTTCGATTTCTGAAATCCATGTAAAAGAACAGACCAAAAAGCATATATGTTAATAAAAATTTGTTTACTTATTAATATTTTAATAAAGTTTTAGTCTATTTACAGTTACATAAGAGTAGAGAAGGTAACATACATATAAGGGGCCTCTTGATCACTATAATATATATACATCTTTTACTGAACTATGTAATCGTTACCTATGCATTTTTAATACAATTTTAGAAGTAATTTCACTGTAATTTAATCTTAATTCCACATTTCTTAAAAGTATTACTGATACTATATAAATATATAGTAAATGCTCCGGTTATCCAGATATTTATATATTTAATCGAAGGAGGTAATTAACACATTTTTCCGGTAGAGATCTAACATAATAGGGCAGAGACTTTATTTATACAAAAATGTAAGTTATGATGAAGTTATTAGTTACCCATACATTTGCACGTATTAAACTTTTTTTTTATTTAGAGGCTTTTATCCTATAAGGATATGTCAGCATCATCATACCCTAATTTTAAAAAATACCTCACATACTTAAAACATTAATACATAAATAAATAATACATAATATCTTAGTAGTCTATTTTGATAAAGGGAATTATTGATACAAAAATATAGTAATTAAAGATTTTGCCATTCCGGAATGTGGTTCTGCGAGTAACGTATTAAACTTACATTAAGTTCATATTTTTTTACCTGGTATCTATTGAGGATCTTGGAGACGCAGCCGTGGGAGACGCGCAATTGTCGCGAGATGACGCACGGACGGACTCCGGCCGCCGCCAGTTCTACTATCTTGAGCCTAATGTGATTCGGTAGCGGACGTCCGTTGATGAACAATCCTCCGAGCTGATTGACCCTCCCTTGACCTGATATGAATACAGCACAATATTATAATATGTGATATTCATTTCAAACTACGATATACAATCCTATTTCTGAAGGATCTATTATATTGTCTAGTATATAGAATACCGAAATTACTATCATATTTTAGAGGGATCATTCTGTTTACGACACTGAATAAAATCTTTCTTAAGGAACGTGGGGCAAATACACTAAAATATTTTAATCATTTATATTAACATTTTTAGTTAGGTATTAACCTAAACGAAAGTAATAGAATGTCTCCCATATTAATGGGATAATTGAATTTTATTATATATGAATATATATATATATATATATATATATATATATATATATATATATATTCATATATAATAAAATTGAAATGACATTTTAAAATATATATAAACGGGATGTGTAAAAAAATTGGTTAAAATCTCTATAATTGAAAAATTATTCTCGCTGTAATTTAGCAGTCTAATATTTCAAGGATTTCTATCATTTTATGGTATTCCTGAATATCTTAGAATCCTTAATATGACAAGCAATTATGTCCATTTATATACCTCTACTGTTCAAAATATAATTTAAAAGAGTTAAAATTAATATTAATAATAAAAGTTGATTAGTGAATGAACAATGAATAAACAAAAATATATGATTTACAGTCATAAATACAGCGCTCCTTGATATTAGCAAAGGAATCTATCGATAGAATTGTTCTATTTCTTTCTATCTAAACTCGATAGCGACATCTGATGTCTTGTAATTTTTCATGCGAATGCTAATCGAAATGTATCTATCCGACAGTTTTGTTTTAATTGTCAGTTTGGCACTTGCTAAAAGGGGCCGAATAGAGACGATTTTACTCTTTATTTCGAAACTGTATTTATATAGGTACTAAATATTGTAATACTTCTATGTAGTAGTATATTATCTGTTCTCATATTAAAATTAGTCTTTATTCGTCACTTCGCCACGTGATTGATACGAGTATAATTAAATAATTAAAAGGGAGTAGTTAAGGCGCCAGAATGTAACATACAAACATACACACCCGATTAAAATATAAGTAAATATTGAAAGCGCGCTTCAAAAATTGAAGTATTAATTTAGGTGCTATTGTATAGATTTGATACTTTAATACTTTTAATAGTTGGTATTCATATGTTTAAGCGATTATTACATGCCTCTAAAGAACATTTTAAAAGTGTTTTAAATACTGATTATGTTTATCATAAAAAAAAAGAAACTAAATGTATAATGGTAACAAATATATTGTACTTAATACAATTAGATACTAAGATAATAAATATCATCAAATATTAATTCATCTGCATTCACTTCAACCTTTCATAGATCAAAGACTTTCATTTAATAGGATCATATTATATTTTGTTGTTAATATGTTTTACAAATACATTAATATATAGTGTCATTCCGTTTGTCTTAACATTGACAGGATACAATTGAGGGTATATTCGTCTTTATTTTTTAACCATTATAATTATAGTTTTAAGAACTCGATAAATAAAATTATTGTTAAAACGACAAAATACTTAAAAAAAACACCTACAGGAAGGTACTTATTTAATTATAGATATATTACCATAATACTCGTAAGCAATTATTATGGTTTAATTTAAACTAAATAGTAAATTGTAACGAAATCACACATTATACCTAGTTCAAATTTTTATTAATAAACATTCATAATAGATGCCGTTTTAGTCTCTATGTATTGAACAGAATATCCGGTATTAATGTTATCTGGTAGTAATGTTAGAATAAAAACTACAAAGTAAAAAAAAAGTTGTACTTATATACCCTTACCTACCCACACATCCATACCATTTTGGTGTCGTTCCATAATGGTATGATAAGTCGGTATCAGAGGTCCATTAAAATCACTAACTAAAGCGAACTCCACTGAGGCAGAATATCAACCATTTTACTGTAGCACATCCGACAAGCTTCCAATAAAATCCATTATAATATAAAGCTTTATTTTAACACCGTAAAAACGTCACAAACTACTGATATATATCTGTTTACATTAAATTAAGCGAACGAAATCGAAACACATAATTTAAATTGATTATCACCCATACTTATTTACATAATTAAAATGACATGTCCAATTAATAACGCCGTCGTAAATATTGTGAACGAAATAAATGAGTGGATTCGGTCGACGCGTTCGTTTGTAAACGTCAGTTTTATCCGACTATAGCCATGAAGCCTATAAGACGGCGGTATTTTTTTGATTGGAAAAAAGATCGATAGATCGCGTTATCTTTTTTTCTGCGCGTGAGTGCAGTAGAGGAGGTTGTGTAGTGAACTGAGAGTGCCGCTGTGTTCGTACGGACAGGCTGATATAAGGCTGTGTGCGTGAGTTCTACCAGAGAGTCTCTGTATTGAGGGTTTGGTGAAGTGTGTGAGTGAGTGCATAGAACACTCCCACTGTATAAGTGTGAAAATGTAGAGGAGCCATGCGATAAGGTCGGTCCGAAATGATACTTTTCGGTCGATTAGATTGATAATTCAGGATGAGTGATGATAATGATGAGGATGAAATGACGAAAGATTTCAAAATAGATAGTCTATTTTGAAATCTTTCGTCATTTCATCTCTCTGATTCGTCTGATTGATTTCGAAGGAACTGGGGATGAAAACTACTTTTACTCATATTTCAAAGATAGTTTTCGGGTTAAGTTGTTATAATATTAAGTCTAAGAGTTAGGGTCAGGTAGAATATTAATTTTAAAACGTCTTAGGAACTATTGTTAAACTTGCGGTTTTAATTTAGAATAGACATTTGTGATTGTTCTCGCAATGAATTAGTAAAGTTGATTCCAATAATTGGTAATTTCTATTATGAGTATTATTTATAAATAGCAAAATTTTGTATTCACGATGAATCAGTAACACCTTTTTGAAGCACATTTTTCGCAACAAGATAATAAATTTTAATATTCCATCATTCTTCAATCGTCTTACATTTTATTTGCTTGTTTATAAAACTAGTGAAATTATTGTCACCTGAGTGTTGTACCAAAACAGCCGCAGGCGCAGATGGAGGGGACTGAGATCTGCCCACTCATTTTGGTCCGACTTCATAGAAATATATTCATCTCTTTCTAATAAGGCATGTACGGAATTTAAGATATCTTGATCCTTTTTCATTGTATTTATGTTGAGTATCAATTTAGTTAACCATTTATTAATGTCTAATATTCAATTGATATAAGTGCATGTCTAAACTACATGTTTATTAGAAGCTCGTTTATTATGATGTGTTAGTTGAATGTGTGTTTATTGAATTTGTATTACCTATTCAAGTTATTCAAAATGCAATTACATATAATGTTGTGGTCTAGAGTGTTGTTTGTTTTAGAGTAACATGGACGTAAAGCGAAGTGACCAATTAGATATATGACGTTAACAGGTCAACCAGAGAAAATGTGGGGAATGGCATGTAACGTAAATACTTACTTACTTAGTGTTATTTTTTGTCCAAGTTTTGGGTTCTTTTTTATGGATAAGGATGGAGTCCATGCTAATAGTATACAATGGCAGGGCACTAGTGAATGCAATAAAGATGAAATCAAATGAATTAACTCATTACGGCGAATTGATTAGAAATTAATTAGTTGGTTGTCAAGGAGACTGCGTGGAGATCAACGTGATAGCGTGTAATGTTAGCAATGGAAACAACCGTCCCATACTAGCAACTACTGATTATCCATTCTTCCCTCGAGTTTGAGTAAGTACGTTACAAGTATATTTGATCCACTTAAGGGGCAAAATGGTGGATATGGGTATTTTTATTTTCTATTTGAATAATTTTCTTTTATTGTCTTCATATATAAGATAATTTAAATAATGCTATTTAAAAGCTGATTTTGTGTAATTTATAATTATTAATTATAGTAAACAAGTACAGTTTAGTTTATTAGTTATAATGAGCATATTTATCAAAATAAAATACAGTGATAGTATTTATCAAACTGAGAAAGTTTTTCTTAGGGATATAGAGGGTCTTTTTCTATATCACTTGTTTCGTGGTCGTGAAAATTAAGTAATCAAGTGACAAAAATATTTTTATATTTGTATGTTTCTTGGGGCAAGTTGTTTAATTTCGTGGATACTATCACTAGATTTCGGCTTGGTATACTGATTATTATAATACTGTATGTATATTTATACAATGTAAAGTATGCACCAAGCTATATTTAATAAAAAAAATATATATTTATTTTAAGCATATTTTAAAAAGATTTGTTTTATTTTCAAATATATAGTCTTACATTATACAGATAGTTTCCCGTGTGGTCCCGGTATTCTATACCGGTAGGATAAGCCACTTCGTCCTCTCCTGTGGATGTCGTAAAACGCGACTGAGGGAGGGCGAGGAATGCCAGGCAGCAGTGTCCATCTTAAAACATCTTCAAAGCCTAACTACGGTTGCCAATCTGTCTTTCAATCATGGTAACTACTACCCCCCTAGGAAGAGGCTCATGTGCAGCAGTGGACAGTTAAAAGCTGATCTGATATATAGATCTCTATCTATATAGCAATTGTATGAAGGCACTCTTGTCTTTGTCACTCTTATCTAAAAACAGATCAACTTTTTTATCTGTGTGTACATGAATAGGATTATCATAATGTACATTATATATATATATATATATATATATATATATATATATATATATATATATATATATATATATATAAATTTCTGAGACCTAATACCTGCATATGCATATTTATATTATATTAGAAAAAATAACTACCCATTCAAATTAAAAAAAAAATCGTCAGAATCTCGTACATTTTTAATCTAATTACTTACAATACTAAAAAAAATCATTTTGTTTTGATTTAATAGAAAGATAGATCGAATTTTGTAGGTCTAATGTTAAATTAGCTAACTAAAGTTTGATCCGTTTCTGACACTTGATGTTCGTATCTATATCCTAATGTAAGTCATAATGGCTTACTATATCTATATTATATAGATGAAAGATTTGATAGTCAGTTAGTTGTAATGGTAAACTCAAAAATTGCTGAAAAGATTTTAAATATACTTTACTCTATAGATAACTATATTGTCAGTGAGTAATACAGGCTATATGTTATTTTAAAATAATCAGAGATTCTTATTAATCAATTAATTACAATAATGTAACTGAAGGTATCAAAAATTTGCTTATGAAAGCTAATACTTTTATAAAATACGAATTTAATTTTCTATCTATCTACACGTGTGAAATCGGAGCGCATCGCTAGTTTTTTATATATAGAATCGTAGCTAATTACATAGTGGGTGTCGTAAGGGAACTTAACGGTCGAAAGTTGAGCAGCAGTGTCCCTCCTAAAACATCACCGAAGCTTAACTGCGGTTGGTAATCCGCTTCCCAATCGTGACAACTATTGGCATACAGTTAACAGCTGATATGGTGATGATGAATATCATCATTGGGTAATAAATATAATATTAGATTAGAAACATCTTGAAATTATATCAATGTTGAATTTACATAAAAAATTATATATAAATATTATTATTAATATTTATATAAAATGAATCATACTAGTAGGATCATAATTGGCGAAAATATTACGTAACATGTAGGGAAATTAGATATTTTTTCCTTTTCGGTTTAAGAGAAATTTTCTCCGGCAAACGCTCAGCCTATAGAATGGGCTCCCTGCCGAGGTTTTCTATAGAGATTACAATATTGGGTTCTTCAAAAAGGTTATATGAAGGTTGTTTAAGGTCGGCAACGCGCACATGACGTTCCTAGTGTTGCAGTCCATAGGCTACAGTGACCGTTTACCATCAGACGGGCTGTATGCTATTGATATGATATTTATATTGGTCTCACAAAAATTTTAAAATCTTAAAAATTAACGACTGTTTTTGGTGTCCAGAAGTGCTTTTATCAATTTTCAACTAAGCCTGTTTACTGGACTTAAATGACTGGGTCGTGAAAATGTAACAAACAAGTTTGTCGCTCATCTATTTAGACGCAAACATAATTTATTTATCTAATTATGAAAAAAAATATTTAATGAAAGAAACATGTTATTTATAAACCACAATAGTCTTAAAATGTGATTGAGGGGATATTCAGAGAGATATCATCTCCAAGTTAAGCGATCTGAGCTAGACAATAACTGGTAGAGTACAAATCGTAATTTGTACGGTGTCGGCTGCGAGTGACGATGGAAAATCGTCTTAAATCGCTTTAATTAATTTATTCCAAACAAAATCGGCTCCACAAAGTGCCTTCAAAGCATTCAATTTTGCATTGAATTGGTAATTTCCACGGCACAATAATTTGTAACTGTATAATTTTCGTTTACTGTTTTTTGCCCCTCACACTCCATTAAATTCCACAACAAGTTGGAAGCGACCATTTTCTCACGGTTTTGGAAAGCAAATAGTTATTTAGCTTTCTTTTTTAGTATTTGGAAATTTTTCTTATCTGTGTTATATAAGTTAAATTCAAATGTTTAATTCTTGTTATTTTCGCACCGATGAGTTCTTTTTAATAATATTAGTTTATATTCTGTTCTATTTAATAAGTTAAGTGACTATATATAAGACATAATAAATGTCTATAATGTTTTAGCTACGTGCGATTTATTATTGTATATTTATTTTTATTAATTATATTTTATTTTTAGAATTATTGTTATTCCAATAATGTACAACCAATAATATATATAATTAAATTAATGGAAAATGTCGACTATCGCCTGTAAAATAAATTGTGATACTCGTATATACAAGATATTGTGAAAACTTTCTTAAGAACTATAATATACTTTTTATGTCAAGAATCATACTGTTTATAAAGTCGCAAGCATAATTATGTTTCACAGAAACTATATGTAAGACGTTAATATTTAGGCAAATAGCACAATAATTTAAAAACGTAGATACTATGGAGTGGTTCAGATCAAAAATAATAAGTAAAAAAAATAGTCTAAAAACTTTATATGTAAATCACACAAGTGATTTATCTGGCAAATTGCTTGCAGCACAATCATTTATTAGACTAAGTCATAGGCTTGTATTGAACCTCAGCGTTAAAGTTTATAAAATATCTTAAGAGTATCGAAAATGGACTGCTTTTTGTCTAGAGATAATCTGATTGTAGCAGTTAAAACAATTCTAAGGTCTGGGCTGTTCTAGTTAAGTACATGTCTATTTTACTAGTTATCTATATATTTATATATTTTATTTTAGTATAATGTGTTGCTAATTTCTACAAAGTAGCAACACAGTTTATTATTTTATGTGACTATTCACATAA